TCAGCGTCATTAAGCCGCTGCGCCACCGCATCCCCCAAGACCAATGTTATTTGACGTTAAGGAGGCTGGAATCTTACAACATCTATGGGCCCACAAATAATTTACCCTTGTTTAAGACAAGTTTAGGAATATGCTCAGTTACTTTACTCTGTTATCTAGGGGAACAAGCACCTGTAAAGAGTTGTTTCTTCTGTAACTGATCTTAGCCATCTCATTGAAATTCTCCAATTTCCTTCCTAGGGATTCTGCTCCTGGCTTCTTTCAATTTACCAGATGAAGTGAGTACATGCCACTATGGTGATATTGATGATCATTCATAACCTGCTACACCTTTTATGTGATAAAGTGATTGCTGTGTTGATATCTTCAGCCATGGACCGTTTGCTCCATTAGATACTTCTCTCCGTAAACTGACTTTTTTTCTGCTCTTGCTGAGGAATCAGCAACAATGAACTCACAGCGGCTTATTTTTGAATAGATATGTACTCCATATAATTATGATGGTCATTAGGATTGAAGGGGATAAGCATGGTTTTGATGGGGCTGGACCTATTGTTCAGCAAAGTGAACCCTTTGCTTCAGGCAGCTGAAATAGACGCAGCATAGCAACAGCAGTTGTTGATAGATAATCCAACTTCATATGACTTAAAGTTGGATTATCTATCAACAACTGCCGTTGCTACGCTGCGTCTATTTCAGCTGCTTGAAGCAAAGGGCTCACTTTGCTGATTTTCTTTGCTTGATTGCTCTGATTTTGGTGGTCAGAGCACCACTAAAGCACCCTGATTTGTTCTAGCTAGAAATGAGTGACTGATAGCCTGAGCTGTCTCTTCTCACAATACCTGAATGTTGTGAAGCAAAATCATCCACTGAATTGCCATGTTTTAATCAAATAATTAGACTACTGAGTCAGACAAAGGAATAGGAGATAAGTGAATGATCTTATTATTACTTGGTTATCATTGGATAGCAGAGAAACTCTTCTTCATTTTGCACGTGCAAAATACAAGATCCGCATGCTTTTTTATGATTAAAATTTTATCCCCTACAATCTGAAGCCTAATTCTCTAGGTAGCCAACTAAGCTATGATGAAAATCCTATTTCCTTTCCATGCTGCTAGTTAAAAAAAGAGAGAAATTGGAAATTTAATAAGGAATTAATTACTTCTCCCACTCAGTTGCTTCTTCAAACAAAGGAAATCTGCCTGCTCATTTAGCTATTGCTGTGTCATAAATATATTATTTTCAAAGAACAAGGAAGGCTTTGTTTGTTACAGAAGGCTCTAGCAAAGATGGAATTTTAGAAAATAACAATAAACAGTAGTATTGGGAAAATAATTCAGTCCCTCTTCTTGCTAATCAGTACCTCAGAGTTTAATATGCAGAATGGAACATCATGATCTTTTGGACTTTTCATGGGCCTGGATTTTACAACACAAAAGTCATTTAAAAAAAAAAAAAATCCCCAAACACATGTGAAGTTCATGTTTTAAAATATATTTGGAAATGCCATATTTGAGGAAAATCTATTTAAAACCTGTGTAAGTTTCTTTAGAAATATGTTCCTCATCTGTATTGATACAGATTTTTAAAGAAATATTGCAGATGGATGTGTAAGTAGAGCAGAACAGTTTATGCATGAAAACCTGGAAAAGAAACAAAGGGAAGAGTGGGGGAGGAGAAGTGGGCAGAATAAATTTCTGAAAGCAAATTAATTAATGCTGTTTTCTTACCACTCTGACCCATCCTTCCCCAACCTTGTGCCCTCTAGATGTGTTGAACTGCAGGTTTCCTGCTGGCTGGAGATAAGGAGGGTTGCAATCCATCACATCTAGAGAGCACCAGGTTAGGTAAGGTGGTTCTGGTATTTGAGGTGTCATGTGGCTCGGAAAAGTAATTTTACATTGAATTACTATTATATGTTGCTATTTCACTTTATTATTATTATTTTATTTAAGGGGAACCTCCTCCCAATCTCCTTCCATTTGTGCTAAAACAATTCCACTTAAAAAAAAAAGTATTTTAAGGTTATGGGCAGGAGGTCTGGGTTTTGTTTATTTTATTCCCCCCTTTGATTTGAGGAAACTCAAGATGGCAAGGAATGGTATTCCAGTTTGGGTGTGCTCACTTACTGACTAAAGAGCTGATACTTTTTTGGGTCCCATAGACCTAATTTTATTCCACAATAGTATGATTATAGGTCTACATAAAGCACAGAAGTAAAGTCCCTCTTTGCTATGAGCATATCATCCATTTTATACTGGCAGGAAATCTGTATAGTCAATGCTGCTTTTTCCTTTCTGGATGAAAGGAAAAGGGGAAGAAGGGGATGTCATTGAGTTGACATGCCTTTCCTTCTTTCTCAGAGATGAAGAAATTCAAAGCAAGTGTGGAGTTGATGCCACAACCTACCTCTCCTTCCAACGGCATCTGTTGGTGTTGCTCTTGATCATCTGTGTGCTGTCTGTGGCTGTCATCCTTCCCGTCAACTTCTCTGGTGATCTCCTTGGTATGTAGCCCTCCAGATTCACTGGATAGTTAATTGTTGAGAGCACCAGTATTCTAAAAGCTCAAAAATATCTGTGTACAACTTTGGAGGCATTGCGAGTACAATGCTATTCTAGGAAGAAGAAAATGCCTTTTGTTTAAAATGTACTCACCTCTCTTTCCTTCCTCTCTTTCAGGAAAAAATCCAGCTAATTTTGGCCGAACCACAATTGCAAATGTTCCCAAAGAGTAAGTAATTCCACTTCCTCAGAACTGAACTAGTCACTCTTTGTAATGATGGCATTATGGGGCACATTCTGCAAATACACAGAGATAATCATTCATTAAATCCTTACATTTTGTCTGACATTATGAATCCAGTATATACACGTGAATACATATGCATTTATGTGCATGTGGTCTGTATTAATATGAGCAATGTTCAGCTATAAGCTACAAATAGTAAATATACATTTCTATCCAACTGTGCTTCCCCTCAGAAAGAAAACCACTGGCTTTGACAAATTCGGAACCACTGATTTCTGTAATATAGCTTTGTCATTTTGAATTAATGCCAGATGAAGGTTCTATTTTGGTGCTCCACCTTGCAAGCATTGGAATGAATTGTTTTCCTTTAAGACATTGGTTGACTAAGGCTTCTTCCGTGCACTAATCATGGTTCCATGACAATATGCAATGGTGAAGATGACTATCTGTATTACAGATAGACATATGAATCCACAGCTGGAAACAGGAAATGGTGGTTATCTTGTCTTCTGGCTAAGATATCTCATTTTTCCCATCTGAAAATTTCTCTCCTTTTTCCTCTATTACAGTGACCGTCTCTTGTGGCTGCACAGTATCTTTGCTCTCCTCTATTTCATCATCACTGTTCTCTGCATGACTCATCATTCCATCCAACTAGAGTATAAGGAAAATGAAAAGGTAACAATTGCAGTGGCCCCATTCACACCTTCCTTTCTGCCCTTTCAGAGATGCACACTCTAGACCACTTTTTCTCAACCTTGGCAAGTTTACAATGTGTGGACTTTGATTCCCAGAATTCTCCAGCTAGCATGCTGAATGGGGAATTCTGGAAGTTCAACTCCATACGTCTTAAACTTGCCAACATTGAGAAATACTGAGCTAAACATTCATCATGTGCAAGGAAGAAAGATATTTGTCCAAATATTGGTTTCAGATTGTTTAAATGCTGTGATTCAGTGGTGACAATACAGATCTTGCTCTGAGAGATGCAAACTTCCACAGCATAGGCAAGTTGCCATCCCGGGGTCATAAAATCGAAGTAGATAGGATATCCAGTGCAATGCCCAGCTTGATGCAGGAAATCAAGAACTCCAGCGAGGGTGACACAGCAATATCTAAGTTAGCCATTTCTGTTATTAAACTGTTCTTACCACTAAATATTTTCCTGCAGTGTTCAAGCAAAAGATATCCTCCTGTAATTTAAGTTTATCATCTGTAGTCCTGCATGAGAGGAAAATAATGAGTACAAATAGTACTAGAATGAAAGTGGTAAAGTACTTAATAGGAAAGTGACTAATGCTGTAACTATTAAAGTGCCTCCACTTATGGCCTCTTCCCTTTTTGTCTTTTAGCTGGCCCGGACATTGATGGTTACCAGGATTCCCAAAGAGATCACAGATACATCTCTTGTTATCAAACACTTCCAGTAAGTACAACTCCATGCACGGCATTATTTTTTTCATAAACATGCTCTTCCTCTTTTAACTAACAATAACCATGGTGAGGAGGTAAATTTTAAAAGCTTTTAATTTTTTTTCAACATGGATGCAAAAAATATAGGAGTTCAGATGACAAATATGCCCCAGTCACTTGCAAATAGCCCATGTAGATTTAAAGGGCTGGGTTTCTTTACAATAAACACAACCTTTTCCCAGTGCCTGGAAGTACGAATCAGCTCTTCCTTGGAAGAAGCTAAGTACTTCATGAGCAATACAATGCTAGGCAAGTATTACTAGGGAAGCAAGTCACCCAGGCAAAGATGTGGGGTTCCCTGATGCAACAACTGCGGAGGCCCAGAAACTGTTGCTGCTTCGTTGTAAAGACTAAGCATCTGTGATGGAATGGAATTATGAAGGCCAGACTCAGGGAGAAAAACATTTTCTTTCATC